GGATATCACAAACTCCCCTTTTCATGATTACGCAAGCAGAGCACACCACGCACAGTAAAGGCAGAATGAGCTGACGTTTTTCCACCATATCAGACTACGGTAACGAGAAGGAGTGCGGCGAAGGCATCGCCCGCGCCATCAAGGACGGCCTCGTGACGCGCGAGGAACTCTTCATCACATCCAAGCTATGGCCCGTCTTCGAGGACGGCGACAAGGTAGAGCCCGCGATCCGGCGATCCCTGGCGGACTGGGGGCTGGAGTACTTCGACCTGTACCTCATCCACTTCCCCGGCGCGCTCAAGTACGTCGACCCTGCCGTCCGGTATCCCCCCGGCTGGCACTACGACGGCAAGGCCGAGACGGTGCGCAGCAAGACGCCCATGCACGTGACGTGGGCCGCCATGGAGTCTGTCGCCGATAAAGGGTTGGCAAAGTCCATCGGCATCTCCAACTTCCAGGCCCAGCTCATCTACGACATGCTGCGCTACGCCCGCATCCCCCCTGCAGCCCTGCAGATCGAGCACCACCCCTACCTCGTCCAGCAGGAGCTCCTGAACCTCTGCAAGGCCGAGAACATCGCCGTTACCGCGTACTCGTCCTTCGGCCCCGCTTCTTTCCTAACTTTCGGCTTTAAACACGCCGAGGCCCTCGTCCCTCTCATGGAGGATGGCCTGATCGTCGAGCTGGCCAAGAAGTACGGCAAGGAGCCCTCTCAGATCCTGTTGCGCTGGGCGACGCAGCGCGGGCTCGCTGTCATCCCCAAGACGTCGCGCGTCAACGTCATGGCACAGAACCTCGACTGCACGGGTTTCGACCTCGACCAGGAGGACATCGAGAAGATCACTGGCAAGGACGCTGGCATTCGGTTCAATCAGCCATCGAACGTGAGTTTTCTTAGTATTTCTCAGTTGTTTTCAACTGTGCCGTGTACAGAAGTTATGCTAACTATCGCTTGAACAACTAGTACTTCGAGACTGACAAGTTCTGGATTTTCGGTTAAAAGACGACTCGCATTTTTCTGGCCAAGCCTGCCTGACACCTCGAAAAAGCCCCATCTCAGAGGCTACCCACCATGACTGATGATTAAATGCAAGAATTTCCTAGCTTCAGGGAGTTGTTAGGCTCGGGAGAAGCTATGGACTCATTAGGATACAAACATGTAGAGTGAAGTAGCATAGACAGGGGAATACCCTTCCGTATTGTTGTCTCAACATTGACACAACAGGCCGCAACGAGTCCTGGGAACTCGAGAACATTCTATGGATATTTAAAATATCATCTACGTCTTTAGACGTGTGCAACCCACATCCTTACCTGATGATTCAGTACCGAAGCCCAAAGTTGTGTCTGCTCTAAATACGTTTTGTTCTCAAACACCACGTGAAGTGATAGGCCGAGGGTTAAGGGATAAACCCAGACCCTTCATCTCAAAAATAATCTTTTCCGGAACTCCGTGGCTATGCAATATGACATTACAATCTCCCAGACCCGCAATTGGGTTGGTCGTCTCAACCGGTTTTAACATAGGCTAACGCACGAGGGTTAGTTGTTTGTTGCTAGAATGCCCAGCGGGACAGAATCAAACTCACTGGCATCGATCTGCTTTAGCTGGGGCAAAGCAAGCCGGACTTTGTTTCGGTAAAGTGCCGGCTGCCTTAATTGTAGGGGATTCCCTTCAAAGTAGACAGTTGTAAGCTTCTCCTTGTCGGCCAATTCTCTCTCAACGTCGGCGAACTCCGATATTTGATTGTAGCTAGCCCATAATTCCTCGAGCTTCTTCAAGCCACCCAAGCCCTTGAGGCTCTTGACCATGTTGTTCGAGATGTCGATAATGGTTAGGTTCGGATTGCCTTCTAACCCATCAAGGCTCTCAATCGCATTATGTGTGATGTAGAGTTCTTCAAGTTGCGGTACTTCTCGTAGTGGTGAAAGGTCGCTGATCCGGTTCGATTGGACACTCAAAAGCCTCAGTTTTGGTAAGCCTCCAAGACCTCTGAGTTCAGTGATCTTATTCTTTGCCAGCCAGAGCTCTTCCAAGTTCTTCAGGGAGTCTAGATTCTGTATCTCCCGTATACGATTCGATCCAAGTTCGAGCTGACGCAAGTTCACGAGTGTGTCGAGTCCCTCGATCCGACTGATTTTATTCGAGACAAAAAATAAGTCTGATAGCTTTGTGAGGTGGCGGATGTGCTTGATGTGCTTGATCTTGTTGAAGCTGAGATCCAGCGAGGTGAGCTCGGTCAGCTCGTCCAGGCCTCGGATATGGGAGATAAGATTATCGTAGAGGTCCAGGTCTTGTAGCGTAGGCGCTAAAGCGGATAGGCCGTCAATGTTCTGCACAAGATTCTGACGGAGACATAACCGCACGACGTTTTTGAATCGTTCTAGGTGCAGGGCAGGGATCGAAGCCACGCGAGATTGGATAAGGCTAATATCGTCGGTAGTGCGGTCCTCGTCGTCAAGTAGGTCTAGAATGAAACACGAAGGGTCAGCAGGTGCTCGTTTTCAAGTAGACAGAGAAATTCAAATGAGCTTTCAAATAAGCGTACCTTCGTCAGCTCCGATTGCCTCGCCGGGTAATACGTTCTCGTCATCCGAATACTCTGGATCTGAGAGAGCCTCAGGGTTTTGGATCGATGCATTGCGGTCGATCCGTAGCTTGCCATCCCAACCTTTGCTATCTCGAAGGCTATGACTGGATTGATGGTCTGTTGGCTCCGGCTCATGTTCATCTAGAGCGACTTCAACATGCTGCGGCGGCTCATTATCGCATCCTTCATTGGCCTGGTCGTTGGCCTGGTCGTTGACTTGGCCAGGCATGACGTATCAAGTTGGGAGCGTCTAGTATGCCTGTAACTGGCAACAAATGGATGTTTGTATAAGGAGAACAGAGTCGCCACACATGGATGTGGAAGGTAGGGGGGGTCGCACTTTGTGAATCCTGAGGAAGATGATGGGCTGTAGGTGCTTGAAAGTTGAAGCTCGAGACAATACACAATACTTCTGGATCAATGAGATTCACTATGACAAAGCCTAGGTACCGAGGAGGGGTCTGAACTATCGTGGCTGATGTCAATCAATTGCTGCTGCCGGTGGGGCTGGATAGAGATATGCAACAAGGGTCCACTGCATATTATTTATTTATGCATAATACGGTGTTATGTCATTAGAAGCTCACACCCCTCAGCAGCACACGCACATGCGCTGCTGCTGTAGTTATTATTAAGGCCGGCTGTCCGCATTGACTGAAGCTCATCCACCTTCTGTTCTCCAAGGGAACTTATCGCGCCAAACTAGAAAGCAGAGGCATAGGATAGTTGGACAACTCAGTATTTTTATAGGCTAGAAACTGAAACTCTTACTTTTCCTCGTGGAATAATTAATCACCCGCTTGTTTTCCTTTTGGTTTCTCTCTCTTCTACTTAGGAGGCGAGCCGATAAACCGGCATGAAGCTTTCTCACTAACAGAAGTTATAATTTCGGAGTCCCGATAGCCCCCAAACCAAATTCCCACGGACTCATAGTATTGATACGATTCCTTCTTCAGAGTTGTTAATTTCCTTTTGCCAAACACGCTTTCTGCTATCGCTGTTGTTGAAACACTTCTCAAATAGTATCACGAAGTCCCATGTACGACTATAGCCTTTAGAAAATTCGGAATCCCGTCTGCTTTCCCATAAATCATCCAGAGAGCCCATAATTGTTAGCTAGGGTAACAGGAGGACGGTTCCGCTATACAATGAACCTATTGGTCTTAATTTCGATCAAGTGAGACATTCCTTGAACTGAAAGTTGGAGATCACCGCTACCCCCTTTAGCACCGCCTGACCTGATTTCCTAGGTGCTTAATAGTTAGTGAGTAGATATTGAATGGGTACGCCACAGCAACCTGAGTCTAGATCAAGTAAAGTTTGTGGCGTCCAAAGTTCTACACCTGTCGTTAAACTCTCACCACAAAGATAGTCTAAGCTTCGCAAGGCTTTGTCAGCTCGACGAAAACTTCTCTGGCCACGTCAAAGGTTTAAAAGAATGTTATGCCCAAATAAATAACTCTGTTTTCTTCACCTGCTCTCAAGCTCCCCCCTTCCCCCCAACGTATTTAGTTCGTGCTTTGCCAAGAGGTTGTTGAAGCTGCTCGGCGGACTCCATTGCTGCTTAAGCCAGGTATGGAACATGTTAAAAAGCGCTGTTATCCCAGAAAGCACCGAGACCTTCATCTGTAGGATTAGCTGATATTCCTGGCGCTGCGCTGACAGAACATGGGGCGGTTGATGTGTTTTGATCTTGATTGGAAGGCTTGATTGGAAAGCTTGTCAGGTTTGTCAATCAACCTGGTCACGAACTTCTCGATGGACACTTGTCCTACAAGGCTGAAGAACTGAGAAATTTCTTGTCGGTTGCTCTTACTCATTCGGATCCCCTTTCCATACAGATCCTATATGCTTAAGAGGGTCGGATATGTGTTATGAATAGCGTTATATATATCATAAAATAGCTAAATAACTAGAATATAACATCTGGAATAGTAGGTGATTAAACATTTATATATATATTCTCCATGTGTTTAATGCTCAACCTCGTGTGGTTATTCTCAGATTATGCTGTATTCCTTAGCAGTGTTATTCGTGTGGTTGTTCTCAGATTATGCTGTTATCCTTAGCAGTATCATTCACGTGGTTGTTCTTAGACTGTGCTGTTATTCTTAGCAGTGTCAGCACAAAAAGTTGTCTGTAGACGATGTTTTGCTGATAAGGTCCGCTATCTATCACTTTCCTTGTAGGTATATTCGCTTGAAACATGCCCTGTGAGAGTACTTTATCTATTCCTCCAGATAACCCAAGCTTTAACAAGACCTATACCGACTATCATTCTGATCAAACCTGGAGGGCCTAGGGGGAAAAACACGATGCATGAGGGATTGTGTATGAATAAGTCCACTACTGTCTACAGTCCACGTGTATCGTGAAGGAGCGCTGGATAGTGGCGTTGTAGTCATTCAAGCCCTGGTAGCTCAATTGGTTAGAGCGTCGGACTTTTATCGGCTCAAACTTATAAAATGCCATCCGAAGGCTGCGGGTTCGACCCCCGCCTGGGGCGAGGTTATTGATTAACAACCATTTTGAGTTGTGCATCCATTCTTCTTTCTTTTTTCTTTTTTCTTTTTTATGTCTTTCCACATATATCTCGTCGTGAATGCAGGTACTTTTGGTTAATCTAAAGCCCATTTGGTGGGAGGAGTATCTTTGAGTGTTGCAACTAGACGCAGCTGGCAAAAGGGGCTTAGGTAGGTACCTAACTGGGCCAGTTACAGCTGGGAGTCTGGTCAAAGCTTCCAAGGTTGGAGCTAGACTCTTTGGGTAGGGGTGGTCAACGTCGACGATAGTAGCTGACGTTCACATGCATTTCCATTCATGCATCACTCACTCACATCATTTTGTCTGTGATCCTGTTAATACCATTTTTTAACAAAAATTTCCATGTAACAATTCATATATATCTGGCTACCAGTGATCTTCACGGTGCGAAATGTGCTCGCTAAGAGTAATTGCGCCTCCACCTTGTCGGTAATTTGAACCACTATGCTTTATCGAAGAGCAGCTTTGAGATTGAACCGCCGCAGCGTCTACGTAACATCATCCATCATCTCCGCCACCCATGTTTCTCAGATGCCATTATGTAGGAGACATTTCCATCTCGAGGGTCTAGCGCTCGCGCCAGTAGTCTTCGGTGGCTTGTTCGTGTCATTATGGACCTGGAAGTGCTTCATGATGGTTGTGTTTCAGAATAAGATCATCTATATGCCTGGGCTACCTCCGAACTCTCGCTGGGAAAAGATCCACGACTACAGGGATAGACTTGGCGGTATCTTGTGGCGGGAGGAAAGAGTTCGCACCGCCGACGGCAAAGACTTAGCTCTCTGCGTTTCAGACCTAGAACTTGGGTCGAAGAGAGACACGGGCTTACCGGACACCACTTTCTACATCCTCTACTTTCAGGGTTCGAATATACCTCCCGTATCATCTAAGCCGAAAGTCAAACTTATTCTCTACTAGGAAATGCTTCGTCAATACCCCCACGCCTCCCGGATCTGTCGTCCACTTTAAGTATGTTGAAAAGACAGATGGTTGCAGAGAAGAAGAACGCTAGATGTACGATGGTCTGCCTGAGTTATCGTGGATACTGGACATCGCGAGGTCGGCCAACCGAGAAGGGTATCCGACTCGATGCTGCCGCCGCAATTGAATGGATTTCGCGCATACATCGGGAAGCGTGTCGTGAGTATCCCCGAAGCCTCAAAAGTCCGGCTGAACTCATTCTATGGGGCCAAAGTATCGGGTCTGGCGTGGCGACCAATCTGGCTGCCGAGAAGTATATGCCTGAGAACCTCCATCTGAACTCCCTAATCCTCGAGACGCCATTTACGTCAATTCGTGCCATGCTGGAGGTCCTGTATCCGCAGAAGTGGTTGCCATATAAATACCTGTGGCCCTTCCTGCGCAATCATCTGGACAGCTGGAAGAATCTGGGGATCATTGCCGATATATATCGCGCAAAGGCCTCTCTCCCCGAGGTTTTGATTGTACAAGCCGCCAAAGATGAACTGGTCCCAGCAGAACTCAGTCAGAAGCTCTACGACAGATGTGTAGGCCTCCATTTGCCTGTAAAAAGGATCTCGATTAACGGCGCCTTCCACAATGATGCGATGTTCAGAGCAGAGGGGAGGAGGGCCGTTTCTCAGTTCTTGGCGGAGAAGATTATAGACTCATGAAGGCAGCCATAAAAGCCCAACCGACTACACACAGTTTGAAGGCAGGTGGCTTTTAAACAAAGCCACCGGGCTTAAGAAGAGGGACGGACCAGCCACACTATGTCCTCTACGCCAGCTGTCCCTCAGTTTTATTCATTTCTTTCGTCCAAAATGGGCAGCATTACGGTCTGGCTTAGGTGAAGAACGTTCTGCTTAAGATGACCCTGCTTCGGGATCAAAGGAGTTCCATCTCCACCAGAAATAATGACACAATCTATTCTTAGCACAAGCTAGTAAGTAAAACATATTCTCTCTAACCAACCCAGCCCAAAACCATCATCAAAACAAAAATCGTCTACTTATACTTTTGTCTCTCACTAGATCCCTCCAGCTGCGCACTCGTAAACGCCACTCGTATCGGTCGGTTCGTGAAGATCGTGTCCAGGTTCAGGATGATCATGTTGATAATCAGCAGGACGGCTAGGAACCAGAGGAACATGCCGAGCGCCACAAGGAAAGCCACACCCAGGACGGAGGCGAGTATTATCTGCCACGTCTGCATTGTCCCTTATCTACTTGATATTCGCGGAAGATGGGGTCTTATATGCGATGGCTGGCCGCTTGGGTATTTCTACGTTTAGGTTTGTTGTGAATCGATGCTCGTGGTAGAGAGGAAGGACTGTTGAAGGAGACGGGGGCATTTGAGATTTATGTAAAGTTTCAAGGGTTGTCAAGCTTCATTGATCACTGATCATTTTCCTGTTTATGGCATTTTGTATACTTGGCTTCTTGACTGGCATTGAGCAATCGATAGTCACTGTGAGTGTATGATTCTGTCTAATGATGGTTGTAATAGAGAGCACCAGGCTATGCATGCCACCTCTCCGCCGCATGACCCAATATAATGATGGAAAAGGCTGGAATTAAACCCAACCTTGAAGCCGTACTAACGACATCCTCGCGCATTTAGAACTCAATCTTGTCTGAACTTCAAGAAAGGTATCCTATACCTATAAAAAGTCGCTAACATACCGTCAATCTGTTGTAACAAAAAAATCCACGGTTAAGGATGCTCAGCATCGAAGTATATCTTCACCTCAACTTCATTGCTCCAACCAGAACTCAGCCCCATCTCACTCCACGCTGTCTCAATATCCACTGCTAACACATGGCCATCTCGCTGATCCACAGTAACGGTGTGAAGTGGTATGGGCTGGTTTTGGATAGTTATCATAAAGTCGCGCTCAATCGACATGTGAGGAAGGCTAGATATGTACAGTCCTAGAGCACCCATCAGCAACCATTCAGGCATCCAAAGGGGATATTCTCAATAACCTACCAAGTGTGCCCAAGGCCTTTAGCCGCGTCACAGCAATGACTCGTCCGGTAGTGAGGAATTCGAAGCGGTTCGCTATAGTAGCAGCGGCACCAGTCATCTTGTCTATGAGACCTAAGTAGGCAGCGAAGATTTTGCTGTTGGTTTCACTGTTGAATGGGGTTACTGGATACGCCGTAAAGATGTCGTAACCTCCTACTTCCAACGATATAGACAAGCGAGCCTCCTGTGACTCGCGCTCTGTGACCGTAGTGACCATCCCACTATTATGTGACCTGATGATGTACTTGCATGAAGGCATGGCGCCAGGGAAGCAGTCAAGTGAAATTATCTCCCTCAGGACGTGGGGTCTTGTGTTGAATACGCCGAGAATAGGCGTTCCTGTCCCAGCCTTGCCGTGATAACACCCGACCTTGAGAAGCGCGCTGTCGGAAAACAAGAGTCAGCAATCGTTGTAAGCAGTAAAAAATCAGCGAAGTCCTGTGAATATACAGAAACTAACGAGGCCGAAGCCTAACAAAAGGAAAGACTACCGAGATACGTACTCTTCATCATATCCTGTATATGCATCGGTCGTTCTACCCATCACACTAGGCCTGAGAATAACAGTCTTTCCACGAGGAGTTAAACCTGTTATTTGTTTGATCAACTCAAGATCGTGCTCTCCGGGCACATCCGTAATATAAATGGGCCCACCACTAATGCAACGTGCAGCAGCGTGATAGCCAGCGTTCTCATGGAGAGTTTGGAACATGTCCCAGTCTGGTAAGATGTTCAAATGCTGCGTAAACAGAGTATTGTGTGCATTTGTCCATACATGCCAAGGGTGTGATGCCGGCACATCTGGAAAGTAGTCATCCGAGTTCCGCACCGGAAAAGCTGGCCTATTCTGTGGCAGTTGTTGGCGGAACATTATTTGCGGCACTTGTGACATGCACGAGATAGTCCTAGCACCGAAGTGTCGAAGAGAGGCAATCATCCACGCGTCCAGATACGTATTCGTAAGCTCTCGACGATGTTCTGCTGAAGCCCAAGTATCGACCATAAACTGGGCATCTGTCTTAACCCCGTCCACGCCACAAGACGACAAAAACCGGTAGAATTCGTCGTAGAATCTATCGACATCCGCTTTACTAATTACTGTCATAGGGCCATCGACCTTCCAACCCTCACGACGAACTTGAACTGTCTGATACTGCCGGGCGATGTCTCCATGGGGTGAGATGCCTCCCCAGTATCCAAGTAATGCGCTGTCCGGCGTCAGGAGTTAGTGATTGTTGTACACAGTAAGAGCTGCCACAAAGAGACTTCGGGTAGGGGAAACTAGACCAAATACTAGTAACGGTAGAAGGAAACGCTTCAGTGTACATACTGCCAAACAGTGACATGTTCAATGCTGGAGAACTGTTGCCGGATTTGGGATACTGTGTGCTTCAGGCCATTAGGGAAAGCCCGAGGTTCCGCTTCAAATCTCTTCCAACCATACGAATTCCCGTCTGGGCCGTCATAATCAACATCTTGCCAGTTGTCGTCGATGATCAGATTGCTGATGTTGATGTTGTTTTTCTTTAAGCACTCTACTGCGTTCAATAGCTTGTCTTCGGTTAGACGCTGGCCAAGCGCATTCCAAGTGCCTATATGTATCTAAGGGTCAACGAATCTGCTGCCGATTTGGTAGTAATGATGAACACCTACAATACCCCAGTCCATCATACCAATTTTGTTCCCATTCAGGTCTGACATCGTCGCTAGGAGCTGAAAGCTCTCGGCGAAGCGTTTCATTTTTGCCATGTGTAGATTGAATAAGAGCCCGCGCATGGTACATAGCTGCCGCAATAGCGCTCTCGCAGTTGTCGCCCACAGCCGCTAGTAGCATCCCAGCTGAACTTGCGTTTTCATCATTGCGTATCTACATTGCCAATTAGCCAGTTTGCTTAATATCGAAGCAGGGAATTCCTGTAACTTACATGAACCATCACTGGCCCAGAATTGGAGCTTCGGAGAAGTGTCACT